GCTGCCTTTCACTAGATTTCATTTTAGAAAGCAGTCGTTATTTGCACATATATATATATATATATATATATAAAGGAACTAGATAGCATTAGTTAGGTACCTAACTAACATTTCCCAGAGATTCACTTTCAGTCTTTCCTAATGGCCAAGTTTAACAGATAAAACAGAAATTTTGATAGTACAAGTTAGAGTTATTCTTTAAATGATGACAGAAAATTGGGGAGAATCCAGCAGCGTAATACCACCACTATAAACATAGGAACTTTACAGCTGGAATATTTATTTGTTTGGATTGTGATTTTTCACAGAAATTTTTTTATCTTTTTCGTAAACACATTTCTCAATTAATTTTTTACTTTACATACATCAAATCAAATCGCTATAGTATACATATATATATTTTACAAAAAACTTTTAAAAACAGCAATTCAAATGGGAATTTTCAAAGATTTATGGAAGGCCATCCATGGCTGTTTACCATGCGTGGAGAACTCGAAATGTAAGTATTGTATCAGAATAAATCTGCGTCTGCTACGGACGTTGTAAATGCCGTCATTGATTTGAGGCCATCCCACATATTGCTGCCTCTTGGAGGGGAGTGCCAAAGATCAAGGAAAATTGGAAGCTAGTTCACATATGTTTTGAGGGACATTATTAGCATTTGTATAGATTACATTAGGAAAATTTTGATGTATGGGCAGGGCAGCCTCCTGCTAGATGATACTGTTTTAAATCTTACCAGTCCTTATCAATAAAATTCCCAAGTTTACTTGAAAAAAAGAAAAAAGCAGCAACAAAAACAAAGATGAATCATGTATGGAAGGCCGATTAAACTGTTCTTTCGTTGAGAAAAATTATAGGCAAAAACTCCAAAATTTTTGTTTCCAGTGAGACTTTCATTGGTTAAAAATTGCTTTGTCAAATGTCATAGTATATACTAGTTATTTTATTTCCCTTCTGTTACTGGCTTTTTCCATTCCGGGCCGCTGCTATTAATACGACACCAATTCTTCTCTCCTGCTAAAAAATTTATGGCTCCTTTAGGCTGATTCTTTTTTTTTTGGGCTGATCCTTTAGGCTGATTCCACTTTTGTGATTTTGATTTTTTGAGTTACATGCCCCAGCCCAACAACATCTCCGGTATTTCAAGTTTGAGTACTATGAATGCAAACGACTAAGCCCATCAAGCCATACTAAATATTAATTTATATTCTATAATCATATCAAAGTTTTTCCTTACAATGCCAAGGACTGAATTGCTACGAGACTACATACAACGCAATATGATGTCTCACCCCCAAAAAAAAATTTTCTTTGAACATGATGAGGGGGTAGGAGGAAGGGCCTAGTTGGGCCCCCAAAAGATCAAATGGAAGAGGCATGCAGCCTTTTCTCCCTCCCTCTGCCTCTTTTCATCATGGGCCAAACCAGTCCTAATAGTGTTCAATTTCATTTCGCCCGCGGCCGCAATACTCCTCCCGGAGCTGCTTTTGCCATCACCGGAGTACTCCATCAGGAAAGCATTCCTCTTCTGCTGCTCCATGCTCTTGAATGCTGCCTCAAGCTTGCAAACCCTTTTGTTACCACTCATCTTTCTCAGCCTTTTCTTTCCCTTTTCCTTCGTTTTTTTCGTTTGGTCCACTAAAAAGTTGGAAAAAAAAAAAGGTAATTGGATCAGTGATCGTGACTATATATTAAGACTTGAGCTAATTAGCTTCTGATAGAGCATTTCTGGCCATGCCACATGTAGGCATATTTATAGAAGACTAGAAAGAGACACCAGAAAGAAAGACGCGTCTGGAAAGTTGGTGGGAGCAAGTTTTAGAAAAGAAAACAAGGGGTGAGAGATCCTTGGTTTTCCTTCACTTTCAGCGGTTTTTACCAAAATGTGGCAACCGGACCATAGTTTGTTAGTATAACTCTGCATGTGCTTAATTGTCTTTCCATTAAAGTGATTATACCTTAGAACTTTACAACATTGAAGTAGTAGACTATTCTCCAGCAACGGCGGATAGTTGCTGGTAACAAGGAAAGCCAACAGGGATCGATCATTAGTTTAGTTACCCCACGAGTCTGACTTTATCCATGGAACATGTACTAATAACCTAATATTCTCATTTGATTTAAACACTTAAATATGAGATCCAAAATATTTTTGTTTGGATTAGCTGTTTTCTGGAGTGTTTTTGAAATATTTTATTATGGCAATCTGTATAAATTTTTTTTATTATGGATATGTTTTGGTGATGTTTTTTAAGGTATTTTTGAAATGTATTTAAAAATATTTTTAAAGCTTAAAAAATTAAATCTACCACCCACCACCACCACCCCGTCTCTCCTTCCCCTACCTCTCCCCCTTCCTCCTCCCTTTCTTTCTTCTCTTCCTCCTTCATTCTTCCCTTCCCATTTCCTGTCACACCCCACCCTTCCCCTTCCCCTTCCCCTCCTTGATGTGACGGGAAATGGGAGAGAAAGGGAGGGGAGGAGGAAAGAGAAGGTGGAGAAAGAGGGAGAGAGAATAGAGAGGGAAAGAAAAGGAGGAGAAGGAAGGAGAGGATGGCGGTGGTGGTGGTGGTGGTGGGCGATGGTGGTGATAGATGGAAGAAAAACATAATTTAGATTTTATTTTTTTTTTGTATATTTGAAATTATTTTTGATATATTATATGGATGTGATATTTTTGAAGGTGTTTTTATTTATATATTACTGTAGTAATATTGTAAATGAAAAACTTGTTTTTCAAAAAATGGAGAATACAAACAAAGCCTAATTAGTCGTTTTTAAGCTAGTTATTTGAGTTTGAAAATATATTTGATAGGTAACCTCCGAATTTTTGCTGAAAGTGGGAGGTGCCTTTGCATGCTTGTTCCAAAAAAAAATAAAAAATACCTTCAACCAAAAAATCCTCCTGCATGCTCGTTTTTATTACTACGTAGTAGGAAAGCGAAATAAAGGAAAGAAAAAATTATTTTCCCATGTATGTTCGTTTTGATAAGAAAAAAAAAAGATAATTATTATAAGTTATAGAAAATATTGTGAATGCTAATAATTTTCCTCCAATATACTGCAAATTTTGTAAGACACAAAATGCACGAAAATGAAGAAAATTTTGCTAAACTTTCTTACTAATACTATACAAACACCTGTAAAGGGCAAAAATAACTAGTACTTCTCAATTTTCATACTTTAAGGACTCCTGAAAATCGCTATGGGCCCAAACCTGCAGGACTAGAGTCTCGCAGCCTGACTATTTCTTTTAGAGGAAAGTCATTAGAGAATGGAGTTGTTGCCGTAAAACCAGAATTAAGGTCAATACACTTGCTTCGGTGGTTTCATCCTCAAAGTCTCTTTCCTCCTCTTTCTTATGAAGCGGTTTTGCCTTAAATTCTCTCAAAAAATTGAAAATTTAAAAAGAACTTTTTTAGATAGCACTGGTGTCTGTCTAAAAAAGTTCTGTTTTGTTTTTCGTTTATACTTCACACCATTTCAACCGTGCGATCCTCTGAACTCACAGCCACAGGTTTCTATTATACAAGACTCACAACTCAACTACGGCTCTAAGATATTATGAAAGGCTTCTTTCTTTCTTTTTTTTTTCAATAAATGTTTTGAACCTTTTCTTTTTCTTCTGGAGTTTGATATTTGAGCCTTCCACGAATTGAAAATTGATTGCATATAATGATAACTCTCTTTCTTTAACTCTTTTTTCGAACCATCTTCTACGTAATTCTTTCTCCCAATAGTAAAAAAAAAAAAAAAAAGGACACAAATAAAAATGAAACAAGAAGTAAAAGTTCAAAGAAGAGCAAAATGGACCAAAGCCTGCAAATGATATTCGTTGTCTTACAATAATATAACAAATTGTCAGGATATATCATATGTTTTCTGAAAAAAAGAAAAAAAAAAGGAAGAAGAAGCTAAAATCTAATAGTACTAGGACCCCAACTACTCAAATGCATTACTTTCTTCACAGAGTTTTCTCTTCTTGGCGTCTTCTCTACTTCCCTAACCAAGAGAGATGGCAAAACGGAGCGGGTAGTCAGGGCCTGATGGTACCAAGAAGCATGGCGTTGGAGCGGCATCAAGGGGCGGCTACCTTGATCTTTGAGAACCATACCCACGGCTGCTCCTATGCTCCCACCAACAACCAAGGCCTTTGCATGCAGTTGCATTCATTCTTCCAATATTTGTTCTAGTATAATTAATATTGCAGAATTAGTATGATTGAGAAGGTGGTATTTCGTATTGCTTGAGAAGAAAATAGATGGATGAAAAGGTTTGTGATTAAGGCTGAGAAAGGGACTATGCGTATATATAGGACAGGTGTAGAGAACATGGCACGTGAGACAAAAGTTAGGCATACTACGAAACCACAGTTTTCGGAAAAACCTATTGGTTTTTTAATCTTAAAACCAGCTAACAAGTCACTTTCTGCGATTTGGACCCATAGTTTTTACATGCCATAACTGTTGGAAGCTCTCCTCCATGGTATGGTATTGGTACGTGGACAACTAGCCTGGGATGCCGCGTCCAAAATATGTGATGTAATTTGATATTTCTTCGATAAGGTATTGGAAGGTTTCTTTTTCCTTTTTTTTTTTGCGTAAACTTTTCTTGCTAAAGTTAAACTAAGATGATCCTAATATTCCATCTTGGCATGTAAGTTGATTTTCCCTCTTAATGAGGATAATAAAATCAAGAAATCTTGATCAAAATTCCTATATTTGTAAATACACGATTTTCCTAGTTGACCCCAGGAGGAAAAAAAAAAAAAACTGTTTTAAGAGAAAAGAAAAAGAAAATTACAGAAAACGCCAAAAAAAAAAAAAGAAATAGTGTGTAATTGGGCCAATTTGTAGGACGAGGCCCAAACTTACTTTTCCAAGCGTAGACTGGACAGATGAGGATCCATGATTACGGTCTAGAGCATTTGTAGTCGAAGTTAAGGCCCAAAACCAGATTAACCTTAACAACAATCCACATTACCCACAATGGCTAAAGTTTTCACTATTACAATCCAGTCCAGCGTCCACTCTTGCAGAGTCCTCCGCCATCATCCGGCCAGAAATCTAAAGCGCCACCATCTCAGCCATAGGTTTCCCCGGCGATACTCCACCGGAAATGGCCAATCATACACAGCTTGTCACTGCCCGATGAGAGTGAAGATGTCTCGGAGTTTTATGCGCCACCTGCTTATTCTAGACCCGATCGCACCTGATTCCTATGGCCATTTCAAGGTTACAGCTATTACTAATATTAGCTTTCAGTTTTTTCTTTTTTTCAATGATGAATTTTGTATTTCGTATTGCCATTCTTCGGCTCTTGATGTTTATAATACAATACTAGCAATTAAAGATCAACCTTTTTGTTTTGTTTTGTTTTTTTTTTTTTAAATTAATCGTGGGATAAGTGGACTATGTTGAAATTAGATGTGTTTATGAAATTTGTTACAATAACAAATTTGAATGAATAGCTACGGACCTAATACAGGAGAATATTTTGTGTTTCCTAGCTTTTACTTTTATCTGATTCAATGGTAACCGAAAGAGGGGGAAAATTTGCAAATTTGGCAACATCTCATCTTAAATGTCAATTGGGCAAGGTTGACTATGTATACTTTATGACTAATTTGGAGCCGTATTGAAATGTTGCATAACTTTTCATATACTATATTTTTTCGAACAATATTGTAATGCTTTGGATTCATTTAGATTTTACGATAGAAACTTATTGGTGTGATGTCCTTGTAGAATTGCGATTTATGGTTATAAGTTTACTGATATATTTCTCTGATGTAGATTCTTGACGACCGGAACCATTAGGAGATTTGCTGATTGCATTCACTCAAGTCCAAAAACCGCCAGGTTAGGGGCAGCTCATAGCTTGGTGGGATGTCCAGTTGGACTCCCTTACATCCTGCGCCAATTGTATTCGCATTCAAAGGTTTCTTATAGAGGATTTTCTTCATGCACAATACGTGAAGGCAGGCAGACATTGTGGAAAACTGGGAACCTTAAAAAAGTAGCGTTCTACTCAACAAGTAACCCAGTTCCTTATCATGCTCGTATTCCATGGAGGAGGCTTGCTCATATTTGTTCCTACAGCAGTCCAATTCTGCCCCCGTTAAGTAGAATTGCATGTGCTGTGAGCCTTGCTTTGACCCGATCAAAGCTGGTAGTTCCAGGTATTTTGGCTTTCATTGTTGGAGAGCTGGGATGGAAACGAGGTTTTAGGGCTGAGGCAGAAGGCTTCCCAACTGGGGATTTTTTCTACACACAAGCACAATTTGGACACGTTCACCTGACTTCTTTCATTTTCTTGCTTTTGGAGGGTTTAATGTTGTTTCTGAGAGCAATATATTTAGGGATATTGTTCTCCCCTTGCATTTTTATGGCTCCCTTTGCTGAATCCCTTGGTTCTGAGTATAGGAAGACGTGGCTACAGACAGTTCGCATTACATTAGAAAAGGCAGGTCCAGCATTTATTAAATGGGGTCAGTGGGCAGCAACAAGGCCAGATCTATTTGCAAGTGATCTGTGTAATGAGCTTGCGGAATTGCACACCAAAGCACCAGCACATAGTTATGCACATACAAGAAGAACGATTGAAAATGCTTTTGGTCGCAATATTGCTGATATTTTTGATAATTTTGAAGAGGAGCCTGTAGCATCTGGTAGTATTGCTCAAGTTCATCGGGCTACCCTGAGATTCCGCTATCCTGGCAAACGAGGAAAGCCTGTTCTTGTTGCCGTAAAAGTTAGACATCCTGGTGTTAGTGAGGCTATTAGGAGAGACTTCGTATTGATCAATTTATTTGCTAAAGCTTCTCAATTCATTCCTACACTGAAATGGATGAGACTGGATGAAAGCATACAACAGTTTGCCGTCTTTATGATGTCCCAAGTTGATCTTGCAAGAGAGGCAGCTAATTTGAATCGTTTCATCTACAATTTCAGGCAATGGAAGGATGTTTCCTTCCCGAGACCACTATATCCTTTGGTGCATCCTGCTGTTCTGATTGAAACATATGAGCATGGCGAAAACATCCTGCACTATGTTGACAAGCTTGAAGGGCATGGGCACATTAAAAGTTCCTTGGCTCACATTGGCACTAATGCAATGTTAAAAATGCTTTTGGTATGATTACTGCTTTCCACTTGAAGGTCCACTGTTCTTAGCACTGTTTTTATTAACTGTATTGATTTCCTTCACTGATGCTAAGAAGTTGGGTAAGGCATTCTTGAGCAGAACTATCACCTTTCTTCGTATGAAAGATATGAAAAACAGAGCTATCAAAGAAATGATGACCAGATGTAAGCCATGCTCCATTATGTACATGAATAACTGCCATTAAGAACCAGCTATTTGTTGCCTTTTTCACTAAGTTTAGATGATTCCACTGAGAGTATGGTTTTTAGCACAATAACGAGCCAATAACATCTATATTCTTCTCAGAATTTTAGTAAAAGTACTAGCGATTGTCAGTCTCCATTTTAGAACCTTACTGCAGTCAATTTGCCTGGGCTAAGGGGGACTTAGCAAAGAAAATCTGTTATTCTATTAATTGAGTTCCTAGTTTCAAACTTTAAAGTCTGTATAAGCTGTTTTTATAGTTACATTTTCTTATGCTAAAATCAGGTTTTTTGTCTTCTTGTTTTGTTGATCCCCTTTGCTTTGGGGGAAGAGGGGTGAGGTAAGGGTGCTTTACCCTTAGGAGAGCTGTTAATTCATTTCTAGTAAAATGATTCGAAACTTTTCGGTTTCTCTAAATTTGGTTGCAGGTAGACAATTTCATCCATGCAGATATGCATCCTGGAAACATTCTGGTTAGAGTGTCTGATGGTGAAGCTTTAAATAAAGGTTTGTTTAAGTCAAGGCCGCATGTTATTTTCCTGGATGTGGGCATGACGGCTGAATTATCACAGAAGGATCGAGTCACTCTATTGGAGTTTTTTAAAGCTGTCGCACTTCGAGATGGTCGCACTGCCGCAGAATGCACTCTTAGATTATCTAAACAGCAGCACTGCCCGAACCCGAAGGCATTTATCCAGGTGCTTCTTTGTTCTTATGCAGCTTTCTTCATAATAAGGTAATCTTGGAATTTTTTGATGCTTGCAGAGGTTCATGCTAATTACGTAGTTATATGGTCATCCACTACCGTAAATAAACTATTATCCTGTCTATTTAACTGGCTTTTGTGAGTTCTTTTTCAGCTAATGCTAATCATGTAATTCAGCAACAAAGATGCTTTAATTGATGGTATCTTAAAAGTCTGCAACAATGAAAAGAGGTGCTAATGTTGATAAACAATAAAGAGTTATAGAAGACGAGAGTAGAGTTGGAAGAAAATTCTTAAGGTAGTGTCTTAAAACTGAAGATTCGTTGTACTGAGATTGCTAGAAACGCACTACCTACTATGGTTTCAAGAAAAGGCTTATCCTTTCTACTGCTCACCAGGAATATCCTGGTAATAACTTTTATTTTACATGCTATATACACATTGCTTTTGTAGTATTTTTTCAAAAGATCTCTTGCACCTGACGTGGGTTTATCAGCAGCACACCACAACTGTTGCATAATAGACGTTATACCTGGCTGGGACTGAGCTGAACTAAGTCCTGAGTAGTACTCTTGACCCATTTAAGTTGAATTCTCCTGTCATTTCTGGCCAAAATATTTCTTGTGCTTTAAGTGCGTGCTGATTTTCTTGCCGTTGCGATTAGTCAAAAATCAGTAACTAAAATTTCATTTAATTGATGGTCTCCTTTAAGAATAACCTTTTCATTCTTAGTAGGCAGTGGAGAATACATTTAACTTCTGGGCCACAGATGAAGGAAGTTCATTCCACCCTGCTGATTGTATGCAACAAATGCTTGAGCAAGTTAGACGTCACCAAGTAAACATTGATGGAAACGCTTGCACAGTGATGGTAACAATGTTGGTGTTGGAGGTACATTTTGGCCTCTCTTTTGCTAAATCGCTGTTTGATGTCTAATTTGGTGATAAATGTTTTTGAAAATTTGAACTATATGGTTTTGAAACTTAGCATATGCAATTCTGAAAGCTATATTATAGCAACACCATTGTCCTTTATTCCACTTTTTGTGGGGGTTATATTACTTCTTTGCTGATCATATATGTTCATGTTATGGTTATTGCCATTTTCTTCCTCAGGGATGGCAGCGGAAACTTGACCCTGATTATGATGTGCTCCGGGCATTGCAAACATTGCTCTTCAAAGTTGACTGGGAGGAATCCCTCTTCTACACCATTGAAGGACTAATGGCCCCGTGAAGGTTGTGCGTTTCTCTTAGCCTAGAAAGAAATCTGACGAAGTAGTTGCCTCGAAAAGAATTAGATGGACGATTCTCTTGCTCTGAAGAAATAAAGATATTACAAGAATCTCAAAACAGAAAAATACCTACAAAATCTGCGACCAGAGTTGCCCAACAGTTTTGCTGTTTAGGATTCCTTAGGTTGTCTACTAATTGTAAAATGGAGAAAATCTACAAGTCTTCTGGCCAAAATTGAGCGCTGCTTGTTGTATCTTTGAAAGATATAAGCAGAATGGTGTAAAGAGTCACTGAGCCGAGAACAGGAAAATGAAAAGGAAGTAACGAAAGATGAATATAGGTTAAAATGTTTACGGGAGCTTTTCGTATGGATTGGTTACTTTATAGGTTAATCTGTTCGTATGGTATAGTTTCAAAAAATATGAATAAAGCGTCGAAGGTGATCAGACTTACCCCGAAGTTCCTTGGCATAACTGGGACAAATTCTACTGGATGCAGTACCACTACTATAAGTTCTATATTGAGCATGGTGTTGTCTCTCTCTCTCTCTCTCTCTTTGGCTCCTCTACCATCAGAGCTGCTCGAACGTTTCAGATTACTTGTTTCTGACGAGTTGGCAGCAAGCTCCAAGAGCAAATGAACAAGGTGGAAAATGCAAGGACTTGGAATAATATGAAAGAAAAATACAGAACCTGTGGGAGACATCTCCGTGCACATCTAGGAATCGGTTCAGAAGAGCTAAAAAAAAAACATGATTGGGTGCAGCGCAGATGAATCAATCGACAGCTAAAAATGGTAAGATGGAGATCCTTCATCAACGCTGCACTCAATGATATTTTTAATCTCTTCGATGATTTTTCCTTCCAGTTCGGAACCAATTGGTTCGTTAGTCCTGGGCCATTTGTTGGGACTAGTTTAATAACTTTAATGAGGAATGGGATGATAAAGTACAAGGGACGTATCAGGGGATAACGAGATTGTACTACCTTCTCATTTGTGCTGCTCCTAAATAGTAACTGGCTTCTTGTACTATAGTTGTGGTTGTAGTACAAAACCCTCCTGCTGTACCATCAAAGACTAACCATTTTCTATTTGGGAGGTATTCGTCGTGGTACAGTTTAAAGACCAAATGCTGTGGATCTAGCCCAGTAGACGATTTACAATATTAAACACAAAATCGATGCTTCTACATTGTCCAAACCAACATATATAACATTTTTCAAGATTTTCTTTCCAGTAACTGCAACATATTGCAGCTTCATGTTGGGGCTCATTTTATTCTTTCTTTTTAAGATGAATTTTCCTAGTATAAGAAAGATTATCAGTTAGCCTTGTATAATCCGGGTTTTAGCAAGTTCCGGAAGATACTTTCTGACCATATATGTATACTGACTACCCTAACGAAGACAATCTTCTGTAAAACAAAAATGGAAAGGAAGAGAGAGCGTCGATCATCCTTGAGTCACTGATTTATATTTTGCTTCCACAAAAATTGAGGAACAAACGCATGCCATTGCCAGTTTTTAGGACCTCCTCAACACTCACGTAATATCAAGCCTGATTTTCACCCACCACACCTAAAATTCACAGTTAGTTTTGGCTCCCAATTGTGCGGGACACATTTCAATGTTCGCATAACTAGTCATAGACTACGAAAGCAAGTAAAGCGCATTTCGTAATTCTTTGTTGCGAACAGCAAAGTTATTGCGCGCCCCCTTTTTCTTTCCCTTGTGCTCTATTTGACTAAGCTTGTGTTTGTGCCATACCAAATGATATTGTCAAATATTGTGAAGCCGCTAAACCACAAACCATAAACCGATTACTGTCAATATTCTCATCGAATCGAGATCATCTGTCCAACTAATAACCAACCAGAAACTATACCGAAGCAAAATGAGAGACAATTTTGGTATGGGAACTTAAGAATGGGTTTGCAAGGCTATCCGTTGAACATCAGTACTTTTTAAGACTAGGATGGAGATTCTAAGCCACTCAACGGATCTCGCACCACGGGTTTCGGAAATTTGTCAAGACCGTAAAGGGCCCATCCTTGCGGTTAGCATAAGCAAAGGTCCTGGACTCCCAGAGGCTGCTTAAAATTGCCTGTTCCCAACATTGAAGTGTCTCAATAAAGCTGTATCTGTCTCTCGATTTGAATCTCCCCAGTTATTCCAATCTCTCAAAGAAGTACAAGTATCCCATGTCAACTGGAGGGTTTTTTGAAACACCGACCTTCTCATCATTGAAAATCACCCAACCACCATTCTTGTAGACGTGAGCAACATAATGACCACAATGGGTGGACGTACCAATATGACTCACTATTCCAATGAGCCTGTACCCTGAAAATGGGCAGGAGACAACTGCTTTGTCAGTGTATGATTAAGCAGGAGAATTAAAAAGACTTTCCAGGACTTAACCATGATACAGAATGATCAAGCAGCCGAGGTTTAACACGCTCTATATTAAAACTTTCATGCCAACATCAACAACAATAGGCATAAAAAACCATAATATACGAACAGTAGTATCCGGGAATGGGCATGTTTTTCTAGTATTAAACATGAGAATGGGTCAAATAAAAAGTTGGAACCGAGGACACTCAGATCTTAACAACAAAGATGTCCAAGGGACTTACTCCCTCCTCCATCAGGTAAAGCAGCGTCACTGGCTGGTGCGCTATTAGAAGCATCAGGATTGTCAAAAATCCAATTTGTTGCTTTCTCAATGTCACCACCCTACAAAAGTTCAAATTATGTCACAAGATCACAAGAAATTGGAATTCCAAAATAAAAGGATAGAGTAATCAAGCTCAATAGGACTTTACCGATGCCTGGAGAGCTTTCCTAGCAAGTTCTTCAGGGAAACCAAAAGAAACCAAAGCCTCAACTTTCGATTGATCAAAAAGGGGGGCATCCGAACTTTGTGCCTTCTTGGACATGGGAGCGTTGATGTCTGGGGTGAAATTATATTAAGCATCGATTACTACAGATGTATAATGAATCAATTATATTAAGTAAAACAGAGGCTTCCTGCCATATGAATATAATTATATTAAGCATAAGAATACCAGGGTCCTCCATATGAGCAAATAACCAATTCATAGCCTCTTCCACTCCAGTATTTGAAGTGTTAATGGCAGCCTTTTGACAATGAAGATGATTGAATCCCATTGAAGTGAGCTGGGCAACGATAGTCTCATCAGCCAGAGGTATATCTTCATCAGCTGTGCGTAACAGCAATGGTGAAATATCAAATTGTGATCCACAGGAAATAAAATATAGACAACATGAAATCAACTGAATTTTATGTTGCACTGAAAGTAGGTAAAAAAGTCATCTACAAAAGATTTTAAATTTCTATAGTACTCTGACATTTTCTTTTTCCGGAAAAAAAAAAAAGGAAAATTTCCTAAGAAGCATCAGGGCTTTGTGTAGGCATCCCATCATGGAGGAGGGTAATTGCCATGATACAAAATAAACAAGGAAAATGAGAAAGTCCAAAGTGACACGTCCTCTGCAAGGTAAGAAGCAATTCTTTATAAAAACAAGCAAATAGATCCACCGGAGAGTGCAAACCAAAATGCAGAAACTTAATGGAAATAAAATATAGACAACATGAAATCAACTGAATTTTATGTTGCACTGAAAGTAAGTAAAAAAGTCATCTACAAAACAGTTTAAATTTCTATAGTACTCTGACAATTTTTTTGCCTGAAAAAAAAAAAGGAAAATTTCCTAAGAAGCATCAGGGCTTTATGTAGGCATCCCATCATGGAGGAGGGTAATTCCCATGATACAAAATAAACAAGGAAAATGAGAAAGTCCAAAGTGACACATCCTCTGCAAGGTAAGGAGCAATTCTTTATAAAACAAGCAAATAGATCGACCGGAGAGTGCAAACCAAAATGCAGAAACTTAGGGTCGGTTTGGTTGGAAGTAAAATGTTTTCCTTGGGAAAATATTTTCCATGGAAGTAATTTTCCAGGAAAATCATTTTCCTTTCATCATTTTCAGGTGTTTGGTTAGCCTATTGAGAATATTTTCTTACTTCATTTTCTGATGTTTGTTTAACTTTTGAAATATTTTCACTTTTACCTCTACTTTTACTTTCTACACATTATAACCACAAACTTCTTCCCATGCAAAATAAAAATTTATCTCATTGTTTAACTTTAAAAAAATCTTGGAGAAATGTATATATGAATTAAAAATTTCTCCTTAAGCAATAAACAAATTGCTGGCCATTCATTGTCAAATATCAATCACAAACAATGCTTATTGTGACATATACCTTGCACTCTCGCTGCTGAAAGTTTCTCTAGAAAAGAATATCCCTATTATACATAATTAATTACTAGAATAGGGTGAGCAGGGTGAGGTCTTTTTTTGATTTTGAACATACTACAAGTTTTGAAAGTTTGACAAATACTTTTTTATCAGACGGAATGCATGCATTTCGGAAAACAACTTCAATAAGTTTGGAAGGGAAGTTGTTTTCCATAAGATGAGTGAAAATCTTTTACACAGTAAAATATTTTCAGTAACTTTTGTGCAACCAAACATGGGAAATTAGGAAAATATTTTCCAGTAAAATATTTTCACCCGAAACAAACGGACCCTTAATGGAAAATAAAACAAAGTCACATACTAGTTTCAGGTAACAGCTCTTCCCCTGGTTGAAAACCCTTGCTGCGCATATAACTGATGTCAATGATATCAGGAACATCTATATAGACATCTACATGGAACCAAAAATACAACAGGAGTGGTCAGTTTCTCTTCAGATGGATTCCTTATCAAATAAGGAGCAACTCTATAAAATTACCAAGTTTTTTTGGCACCCAGCCTGCCTCAAGGACAAATTTCCGCATGTGCAACACCAGATAATCAGGAAATGAGGTCAGACCAGCAGTTCTGCAAGAAAAAAGCCAAAACCTTGTACAAAGAAAGAAGCAAGAAAAGAGATGTGCAGGCTGAAAGCTATTAAATGTCTTCATAAATTACACACTTTATAGAAGCGAATACAATGGTCATAATGAAGTCTTTGTTTGAGAATAAAAGCATCAAACACGCACTCCCCCAAGGGGGGGGGGGTGTTTCCCTGAAAACTTCCAAGTGTTCTACCCGACCATCAAATTGACTAAACAAGTGGCTGCCCAAGAAATCTCAGAAAGCAACAAGAAAAAGGATACGGAAGACCACAATGCTTACTTAATTGCTGTCGTCTTGGACTTCAACGCTGAGCTGTAAAAATCGTGCACCTCTTCTGGCGCTGAAAAGCAATCTAAGCAATCCTTCAATGGCACCCTTGGGCGGACAATTTCCTCGGCAGACCTGCTAGGACACACTGCTAAGAAATTTGTTGCAAGGAAAATAGATTTGGATGTCAACAATGTAAAATGATCCAATCAGAACTCACACTTCCTTCCCTTCTGCATGCTTCTCGGCCTTCAATTTTTCGAATGCTTCTAACTCATCTGAATTTTTAATATACATTAGTTTTAGAACAAGAACAACTATTTCAAATAATAAGCATACAGAAGCTTACTCCTGTTTGTAGCTTTGTGCAATGGAATGTTTAGGGATAGAATATAGTCACTCCTCTGATTGTAAGCAACTTTGCCAGATGGACATTGCAATCGCTCTTCAATACCAAATTTAAAACTCCTTGAAGGATCAATAGAAGGACTTTCTGAATGCGTTCGTTCAACTTGGTCAATAAAGTGCAGGAAAAATTCCAGTGCATCCTGGAAACAAGGTTCTATGCACTATAACTCCAAAATGAAATTCATAAAGAAGATATGTTTAATTCAGAGATCCCGTTATGTTGTTAGATCAGATACTATGCTCAGTGCTCAGACAGACCCAATCAATTAAAGAAAGTAGATATAATAATATCCTTGTTGCCTAGTCAACCTATCATACCCCACAGTGAGTGTACTTATCGTTGAAAGTCAACAGTAAGGTTGCGTGCTGTCAAACTAAGAATTGTTTAAGGTTAGATGCTGCACTCCTTATTAAGCAAGGGTAATAAATAGCATCACTTTCTGACATAGTCATGTAGTTCCATGTCTCTAGCCCACTTAGAGATGATAAATTCAATTTTGCATCTGATCCAGTTACAAACCCTATGCATGTGCATGGAACCACAAACCACAAGATAATGACCCCGTGGACAAAATGAACCCTTAAAGCTAGTCGAGCACCAGAACATGAAGACCTAAACTTACCTGTTGTCTCATTGTTGAAAATTCAGGGTGGCTCGCAGCAATCACGGACTTAAACATGCGGGGACGGATTCCCTCCTGTTTCTGAAGGTGAAGACAACAAAAAGGAAGAGTCTGTTGGTACAAATCATTGAACACAGCAGTACACACGTTCCAGATATAAAAAAGGTTACTTCCACATGAATAATGAATCTTGTAAACTGCAGCTATGAGCAAAGCGCAAACAAGCAACAGACACGAACGGTCACAAGTTTAAATAGTCAAAAAGAGGTATAAAAGTACAGCAAGAAACCACACAAATTAAACTTGTACGGCAGTATGAGCAATATCATCATTCTGAAAGATGAATGGAATGCTACATCAAGCAAGCAAGAGAACCATAAAGGAACCCAAGATGAACACAAAATTACCTCTGCAGCAGGAATTGAATATTTACCAGAAAGCATGCCATGCGCCAACTTTGTTCTGTCAAAGAAATGAATTAGCAACTTATTGTGTGACAAGCAGCTAAGAGATCAATATATGACTTTTCTCAATGCGCATCCCCCCTCCCCCAAAAAAATAAAATAAAAATGCCAGACTGTCCCTCAAATAGCATCAATCAAAAGCTCACAGGGGCTTCTAGCACCCCTAAAATTCAGAAAACTTCAAAGCAGAATTAACATCAATTGCTTACAGCTGCATGTTGAGGTCTACAGCTGCATCAGATAAAGCAGTGTCAAAAGCCCTTTTCAAACTCTGATCCTCGTAATATCTGATATATAATTTCCATTTTGGAAAAAAACGAATCCTTTATCAAAAACTTAATTTGGAAGTATTTATAATGAACAGCCTATAACAAAGTCTGTATTATTAAGAGGTACATAAACTGACCGTAAGCAGAAGGAACGCGTTGAGAACACTACTTGCATAGTTGCAGCCAAATAGCAACTGCAAACAAGAAAAATAAGAAGCAAAATACAAAGGGAATATGTAGTTATTCTAGTAAATAGTCGACAGAAGAAAGAGCACCTATTTCCAAGATTGACCAATCCAGTGTAACCAGGTCCAAATAGTGGTTCAATATCCTCTCCACTTTCCTGAATCCGATTCCAATCAAAATTGGTATTCTGATCAAGTTCCATCTCAGCAGTAGTCATCTCAGTCTGAAAAACAACAGCCAGCATGATGATGGTGCTACAAGCAATAGTAAAAGATACTCAACCACAGAGGATAAACATCAGTGAACACAAACAACCTGATACCAAAAGCAACTCCTTCCCTCTTTACAGCCTACACTAATTTTTTGGGAGCCAGGAGATGGATGTAGGTATGCTATGTCAGAAATGGGGTAACTTGTGGCTCAGCCACTGCAGAGAAAGGGTGGTAACAGGACAAGAATATGAAGGCCTCCTAGAAGTAATATGCTCTTCACTTTCACACCAATGACTTCCAGAGAAGTGCATAGAAAATAAAAAACCACCCATGCTGAAGGCAAAGTTCTATAACAAGTAGAGGTTTTGTAGCTCCCAGTTCAAAACGTTATGATATTTGGCAAATAAGGAATCAAGGGGCAGAAAAACAACACTATTTATAATATGTTCAACCGAATGTGGCCTGACAAGTTTCAGCCATCTGGAAGAGCAAAAGTTCAATGTTGCCAAAAGATTATCCAGGACACACAATTATAACTTATGATGACACACACAAGTTTAGGTACAAACCTTTTGTAAGGATGAAAAGTCGATACCAAAATGTGCAAGATGCTGTGCTAAAAGAGGATCCTCCACACTTTCATCCTCCGCATAAGAAAAAACATCTGAGCTGCCAAAATTTGAGAAAATCATGATTTTATTTGAATTAAGGTGTAATACCCTAGATGTTAAAGAATCTAATAAGCTTCCAGAAAGACTTCAGCTCAAAACTAGCTAGCTTCCCGCCATAAATACCAGTATAAGATACTACAAAGCAAATAACCCAGTTGACCCCAGCATACTTCCACTTAGAAGAAATTAAAAGATAACAACAAAACTCGGATGCAATTCCAAATTACTTGCTGGAGCAAGTATTCAAGGAAATTACATTATTCCAAGAAAACTGCCAAAGTTAAACATAACAAAAACATGACAGGGATTAGGCAGCATTACCTGCTCCCTCCAAGTCAGAAGTTATGGTACCAAGCTTCACCGCAAGTGGGTAGTTGGTTTCTTTATAATGGTTGACAGCATGATCGTTACCACCACTTCCATCCCAATTTCTTCGACCACACAATATTGAACCATCAGTCAAATTTAACCACAGATTTTCAGTCTTATCACACTTGGCACATTTCCACCCTGTCGGAGGAACAATAATGCCGTTATCAAGCTGGTTGAGATTCATGGCATATTTACTGATGTTCTTCTTATCAGCTGTCCATGCAGCAACTTGCTCTTTCCTCTCTGCTCCTTCAGCCATTAAAACAGCATCAACAGCCAATCTTACCTGAAACATCAAATTTCATAAGTTTAACCAGTGTTAACACGCAAGATGTCAAATACATCCATTACCAGCTAAGCATGCATATGGAAAAGAAAATTACCTTTTCAGGTAACTCAACGGATGGAAAAGGAAGAGATACATAATCTGGCAAAATAACTATTTCGTAGCTTTCTTCGTATTCGGGGTCATTATTATCAAATCCTCCATCCACACCTACAAATAGAAATGTCAAAAATAAAGACGAAAAAGAGAGACTGAAGGGGCATTCATACACAACCAAAGACCCAAAATGCTTATTCAAAAAGAGAGCTCCAATACAAATGATAATATGCCTGTAAGACCCAAATTAATCAATCTAGTGGACCTTATTCCAGAAAACAGTGAAATCAATAGAAGAATCACGAGCGTACCTAAGCTGATTTTCATATTCCGTATGCCCTTTACCTTGTCTAAGCCTATGTGTAAATTACAGTTACCGGCTGAGAACAATGCCACGATTTCCCTCTAAAGAAAGGCTCATCTACACACTCCTGACAGCATTCTTACAGTTCAGGTACTGATGCATTTATAGCTTTACCCTCAATACTGAAAGACATTTCAAATTGAGCTAAGGACATCAAAGAATAAACACAATGACATAAGAGAGAATAAAATGGATAATCATAAAAACCAAAAAGAGCTAGAGAAGCAGTGCCACCAAATGCCAGCTAAAAGCCAACTAAACGACAGGTGCACATCAACAATTACCGTACCTATAGCTAAGAGTGTCGGTTTCTTTGAAGGTCTGTCTTCACCAACTGGCTTCACAGTCTGCTTTATATGTAAATAGACTGGGTCTTTTGTCTTCTCATAGTTCCATCCCACATAATCCTTCCCAAATGCGAGAAATGTAAACATATCCACAAATAGGCCACCCTCAGATTTCTGTAAAATTTGAATGCAAGAAAATACTCATTAATCACCACAAGACAAACCAAAACCATTTCCACTAACTTATGTTACTGGTTTCATGTATAACTAGATTTAGACTTTGTCTAACATTCGACTTAATTTTTCGTGGCGCCAAATATAATGCAGATCCAAAATTCACAGCTCTGGATAGGCTACAAAAATCAGCACAAACGAAGTTCAAATAAATTACTATAACCGCGCTAACTAAAACCTCTTATTACCAAGCAGTAATACTAACTAATAAATATAAAACCCTAGCAGATTAAAAACTATACATGGTAACGAAAAAAGCAAATGGTTCATAAAGAAATAAGTTACAAAAAAGAATTAAAATATCAACGGCATTTCTATATATATAAAAAAAAAAAGAGAATAAACGGCAGCTCATTCAAATTTAAATTAAAAAAGAAGAAGAAGAAGAAGAAACAAACAGGAGTGACTGGGTTTAAGAACAGCAAACGATGAACGAAGAACGTAAATAAAGAAATCAGGTACCGGAGTGTCGAAAGAGACGCAGCATTCTTGCTTGTAAATGCGATTAGTAGGTTCTGGAATTCGTACGCGGGAGAGGTTCGACCGAAGGATTTCCATTTTTTGCATTGGTTGAGGAAGAAATTTGACTAGGTTTTGGAGAGGAGAGCTGTGATTTTAATCGATTCTTTGCCCTAAGGAGAAGTAAGGGATTTTTCCACTTTTCCTTCGGCTGAGTGTTTCAGACTCGTACGCCAAAGAAGAGCTGATTGATGGTAGGAGAATGCTACTTTCCAGTGTAAAGCTATGCCTGCGGGGCGCGTCTCGGAGGTTCTGGAATTTTAGTCTCTTTTATTAGTCTTCTCTCTTTTATTAGTCTACTTCAGTATTGAGTCACCATAGGTCGCACTAATGTACACTATCAGAAATAGCGTACTACCAAACTTTAGTACATTTAATCGGTGCATACATTATCAGAGCTATCACACTAGTTGCGTTCAAAACAAACCAAACTATTGAATGGGATGAAAAAGTGTGTTTTTGTGAAATGTTAAGGCTATGAATCAGATTATATGAAATATGTTTTGATAATTTTGTCTATCAAAAATCATCATATGCAATGCACTTGGTGAATTTCGATTAAAAATTAGTCGAAAACTTAAATAGAGACTAAATTTGATCAATGTGAATTATAAGGAATGAAAAATTACACTTTTAAAAGTAATTGATGAAAAAAGTTATTTTTCAAAATGTAAGAGATGTTTTGAATGATTGTCTCTTATATGAAATAAAATTTTAAATTCAGCTCAAAATTGTCTCAATCAGCATAAATTTATAACATAAGAAACTCATTTTAGCTGAACTTATTGAGTTCATCTGTCGAAACTCTCACAAGATTTGAATTTCTGACCACTAGACTAACCACAGTGATTAATAAACAAAATTCGAATTTCTAACAACTGGACCAACCACAGTGATTAATAAACGGACAAAACACCTTCAAATTCATTAGTATTTTTCCCTCACTTTCTTTTGTTGAGAAAAGAAAATTAAAGAGATTGATAATTCGAATTTCCGACCACTAGACTAACCATAGTGATTAATAAACGACATTCGAATTTCTGACCACTAGACCAGTCACAATGATTAATAAACGGACAAAACACCTTCAAATTCATTAGTATTTTTTTTTTCCTCTTTTTTCTTTTCTTGAGAAAAGAAAATTAAAGAGATTGATAAATCCTTTTATTTTGGTTCTCTGGGATGACAAAACATCACCTGAGTTCATCCAATAGTGTATAGATGTCCAATTGCCACTAACCAAAGGGCCTCCGCATTTTAACTAACCCTGACTTTGCTTGGATCATTCGATGCTAAGCAAAACCGTCCGCCCTCAACCATGGCGTTGGCCCTTGGGCTAGGTAGATATGCCCACAAGGCCCAGCAATATGCTTTTCAATTGTTTTAAGAAAAATATTACGAGGAATTAAGATACAAATGGAAATTTACAAAAGGGAAAAAAAATGGAAATTAAAATCGTTCATCAAGTACGCCTATAGTGGTACAGGTGTGTAAACTTTTAAGCATTATATCCTTACTAAAAAGAATAAGAATTCAATCTCTAGTCGAATGACAGTATCAAAATATTATTATATTACAAAACGTCTATCATTTATTCTTTGTATCAGGTTTATAATACGCATATTGAAGAAGGGGAGAAAAACGCAATTGATCTTGGCATCTTCTTTTCATTCCACTTTTTCTTCCTACATACATTTGGAGGGACTTCAAGGATTTTGTTTATGTTCTTTTCATATCTATTGTTGTTTTTATTCACATATATCTCTGTTAATTACTCCTAAACCAATCTCTCAAAATTCCAGCATCCAACTAAAGGGTTCATTTCAGTTTGAGCTTTTCCGGCATCCAACAAAGGGGTTGATTTCAGTTTGACTTGAGTTACAGACGCATGTGACCAAGCTTTGATTGATTGTGTATCCATCAAGCGGTGCACAAGCCCAAAGATCCTATTGCTACACTCAAATTTCAAAGATCTTTTTAATTTATAAATGGTAAATTTTATATACACTGACAGTAAATATACTATCACTATTGAACGTATGATAGATATGCAAAATTTGGGTTTCAAATTCAAATTATGTGTCACGCATTCAATGGTGAAAGTGTATACATTGTTAATGTATAGAAGATTAATTCATTTATAAATGGCAAAATAATTTTGATAAATCTTTTATACACTGACAATGTATACACTAGCGGGTATAGATATATGACAAATACACAAACTTTGATATTTAAATTCAAATTTAGATGATGTAGCATTCATCAAACCATGCTAGTGTATACATTGAAAGTATAGAAAAAATTAATCTAAATATTTTTCCTGAAAAATACAAGAAATTTCAAAAAAGATCTTTGTATATGTTAAAATGTAGATCAATTATTTTTAGTGTCTACTTGACCTACCATTAGTGCATATTTTTGTGATTTAAATCAAATCGTACTGGACGATTTCCAACGATCTCATTAATAAAATTTATTTTCTATCAAAAAATATAAATTAAAAAATGTTTTGTTTATCTCATGTTGATCTAATAGTATATCGAATATAGTTAATTTAATTTACTAAGATTAATTATAATTATCTTGAGTATATTGCCTTTCAATAAAACTACCAATCAACCAGAGATACAAAGAATAAAATAAAGAGGTTGAGTAGGGGAAAGAGATGAGTTGGGTGATATTGGGAGAGGGAGCGTCAATGGGATATTTCGGATTCGAGATCTCTCATTAATAATAATAACAACAACAATAATAATAATCTTATGTAATAATAATAATAACAAGGTTGAATAGTATAAGGGTTTTTGTAACAAATGTTTTATAGACATTCTTTAATATACCTTTAATCATTGGACCACTGGGCTAACCCCAATGGTTGGGGAGAGTTTTTCGAGTTCTTTCGTTCAAGTTTTGAATTTTGCACTAGACAGTTGGGGGTAAAAAGGGTGCAGAGAGGGATGGAAGGGTAAACACAAAACGTTAATCACATCCAACCTACTATGTGAATGATCAATTATTATCTTCTTTTGTATTGATACACTTTTCCTAATTAAGTTTAGCTTTGAGAAAAATTTAACATCTGAACGAGTTTAATAAATGCCCAATGGACACATGTAAACTGCAATAGGACTTGAGATACCTTTACTTGTTATGAAATTTCCAAAAATGATGTATGAGGTCAGATTTGGGAGGTTTTGCATGTTTCAACAAATTGTATCCCAAGTTACTTGCATATTCCATGCTAAATATAGCTGATACCGAAGAAGATCAATAACTCGACAAAGTTAAGTTAATTTTATGTTATCAAATCAAGAGAGACTAGTTTTAGGAGTAATTATACATGAATGAGTTTCAACTTGGACTTTGGAATCAACCAGGGCATGCACCTTGTGAACATTGAGAAAAAATGGAAATGGTTTGACACTTGGGTGACACGGGACTAGTTATTATTACATCTACAAATCCGCAGTCAATCTCTCAAGGACTACTTGAGTTGATTTGAATTGTGAAGTCTTCAAAGGTAGGCAGTCATGCTGAGAAAAAAGAAGATGCCTACATTCTTTGCCTGGATCAATGATGACACGAATGCTGGCCAATGAGATTGACAAGCAAAAAGAAAATCTCCTGGTCTTGGGTACCACACTGACCCAGTAAACCGGTGAACTTGACTTGGACTTCTTCCATGTGACCAAAATTTTTAGAAACTCCCCTTTGAATAAGGCATGAATAATACTTCTGGCTTTGTCATTAATTTACCAAGAAAATCACATAACGATCAATCCCTAATCACCACTTACGTGGAGATTTTGAGCTGCATATTAAATGACATCTCTCAATTTTGTTACTTTGACCATATCATCTACGCAAAACAAATTATATAAACTAGCAGCGTACCAAATATTTTTTTTTTCCTTTTAGAAGAATGTTTGCAAGTCACAATTGTTTACAGTCATAATTGTTTTTTTCTAACATGCTCTTTTTGCAAGTCACAATTCCCCATATATTAATTACTGCAGAGTTTGAGACTTTGAAATTGGTTGATGTTGTCCCTTACCAAAAATCAAAGTACTATGCTGACCAGAATAAAAATTTATCTTTTTTTTTTTAAACACCAAGGGATGTGGTCTCTCGACTCACTCCATATTGCTTGCGCGCGTGTATATATATAAGTAATTTTTTGGTGTTATCCATTTATAGATCAGAGTTTAATAGGAAGGGAGCCCTCCGCGGCAAAGCCGCCCTTCCTTTACTTTTGGGAAACGACGTATCCATCAAAAACATTGGAAAAACACGTACCTCTGCACAAAAAATACAAGCAGTCGCAATACACAATAACAAACAACACGTTCCTTCGTTTTCTCAGACCATCCTTTCCTAAATCCACGCCATCATATTTTGCCCACAAACCCCCCCCCCCCCTTTCAATCACTTTTAAGTCTCTCAAACAAATCAAAAAAAAAGAAATCAACAATGCCCCTTTCCTCTGTTTCCTTTATTCTTTTGGTTGGTTTCATTTACTTACAGAAACCTATGATTATCTGTTAGTTTTCTTCGTTTTCTTAGGCTTATAACTTAGATGAATGTTCATTACCATGGGTTCCTCGAAGTCCTCGAAGAGGAGCAAATGGTACATGTGCTTCAAACCGGATGTCGATGATCATCCGTTCAAGCCCGTTTCGCGTTTAGGAAAAGGAGGGAAGGAATACTTGCTGCATCACAGTGATGTCTTCATGTCCTTGTCCGACGGGGACAAGTTGGATTCTTCGTCCGACGATGGCCAAGAACCCCTGAGTAAGAAGTCGAAGCGTCGCCGGGGATTCTCTCGTGTTTTCAAAGCCTTCTTGTTTCAATCACCTTTGGTAATTAAGTTCTTTACTTTCTTAATTTTCAAACGATGTATACGTTTTGTCTTCTGTCTTGGTTAACTTTCATGCATACAGTTTTGCCTATTGAATCAATTGATCATGTTGTTAATTTTTCTGGTTTTTTTCTTCTGGTGTTTTCTCTTGGGTTGATGACTGCAGTCAAATTGATTGAATACATATTGCCTTCAATCTTCCCCTAACGGTTGATTAAGATTAATATGAATAAATGCACATTATTGTTGCTTTATGTCATCTAAATTTATGTATAAATCTCTGGTTTTGTTTTTTTTAATCCTTATATATATATATTAGAAACTTTCCTTTTTTTGAAAAAATGAAAACAACACACTGAATTTTGTTTTTAAAAGTATGCAAGTGTAGTTACATAGATATAATCCAAGCAGAAATTTTGCTTGTTTAACATGGTTGGAGTGGAAAGTTTCCCAGCATTGAATCCAGAAACATCGTCGTAATCTCCTGATTATTATTATTATTTGCACGGCAGGGTTTCTTTTGTTGTTTTTTTAGTATTGAATACCTCCCGCGGAACTCGGAAGTTGTCCAATTTTTGGAAGTCATCTTTTTTAACAAATTTCAACGTAATCGGATGATATATTCATACGACGAATGATCGTTTTCATGGGTTTCTTAATACAGGCCAAGAGAAAAGGAAGCAGAAAATCAGAAAAAGAAGCACCCTGTAGACCTTCAAAATTCGACAAGTTATGGAAGTCGTTCCGGGACAAGAAATCATCAATATCCCTGAATAAAGAATCACTAGGCGACAGCCCTCTATCCGGTTCGGGCAGATCAAGCTTGTTTTCATCATCAACAGCAGCAGCCTCGTCCTCCCTAACATCTTCGCGTGCTTCCTCCATCGCTAGCAACTCAAGGTCCGCGTCAGAAAGGAAAAGGTCAAGCTCGTTGGATTCGTTGCAACTGAATCAAAAGCCACCAGCAATGCCCTCCAAGAAAACTAATGGATATTGCAACTCCAACGTGGGGCTTTACTTTCTGCTGATTTGCTTAGTTGCGTTGATATTCTGGGGGAAAGCATTCGCAGTCTTCTGCACCTCAACGTGCCTGTTCTTGATTCCTTGCCGGTTCAAAAGGGTTGATGATCAGTCGGGTGTAAATGTAAATAATACTAGTGTCGAAGTTATTGACGTTGACTCCGAGGAGCACAAGAAAAAAGTTATCATGGGAGGCCTGCTCCAGAGGAATAATCGTAGTGCTTCTCGGGTCCTATAGCCATTTGTTAACTTCTCTGTACAAGGATTAAAAATTTTGCCTGCAAGTTGGAATTGGAAAGCGGGAATGAAGGTGAAATAACCATTTGCCTCCGTTCTGTATATTTATCGTGTCCGCTCGTTCTACTTCTACTCATTTGGTTTCCTTTCATTATTTAGTTAGGTAAATAAATGTATACATATTTTGATCAGGCTCAATTTTGGTGGGACTTTGATTGAGGAAGTGGTAGGAACAACGTCGGATTGATTCCTTTCACTCTTTTATTTTTTTTTTTTGGGTGTTTTGTCCTCTAACTTTATGGTATTTAAGGGGGATGGACAAATTCTTCCTCCCTTTTTTGTTTTAATTATTGTATACTGGCTTTATTGTACAATAATCTGCGTGGCAAATGGCAATAATGGTATCAGTTCCCTCACCTTATTGATTCTTGTGTGCGGTGCGGAACATATTCTTGCATGGCATTAAATGTTACTAATTTAATATGTTGCTTTGAAGGTAAGGATGGACAAATGATGGAGGCATGAATATCCAAGTAGTAATGCAATTTTTCACTTTCCCCCTTTCTCTTTTTGTTTTTGTTCCTTCCCCCCCTCCTCTTCTGCATGCGTGATCATGAACCAGTACTGGAGTAATGGAATGAGAGTTGTATTCACGACGTTTGAGCACAGGAATCATAATCGGTGATGCAGCTTCTCTTTGTTATAGGCATGCATGGTCCATACTCCATACTCTCCATCGCGTACTAACTGATGCTTGGACTGCAAAATATCGCCAAAATGTTTCAGCTCGCCACAAGGACAAGGGAGGCCCAAACAAATTCAGATTTTCAAAGTCGTCACACTGATCTGTTCCCGTCTCTCTTTTATTGTATATCTTAAAGCTAGTACAGTTTCAAATCGTGACATGAACTCACTCACAATGACAATGATTTTTTACTTTTGTTAAAAAAACATGAACACACCACGACACTGAAGTTTGGTAGTACTAAATGTATATTTCTGCAACATATTTAGGTGTTCGGTTTGCCTTCGATGCACAAACATGAAAAAGTTACAACAAATTCATAACGTGTATATGTATATACACACATATACATATAAAGTAAATTTTATGTACACTAACAGTATATACACTATCACGATTGGATGCACGATACATATGTAAAATTTGGATTTTAAATTCTAATTATATGTTATTAGATGACGGTGCAAGTATATACGCTGTTATTATATAGAAAATTAATTCATATATATATATATGAAACAAAAATGTATACGGAGCTCTAATGAAGTTGGAAATGTCCATGATACTTTCAATATTCCAGTCCAAAACTGTTGTTCAGAACCACAGATTGGGCCCAATAACTGAGTAGACTACAAATTCAATTAAAATCACACACATTGGATTCCTCCTTTGGCCGGCCCAACACTGTCACTTCCTACTCAGCCCTTTTATCTCGTATATACTAACAAAACACCGTTTTCCCCGGGAAAATCTTATTAACGGTCACCCTTCCCAAGCCGCCCGCCCACCAGCGGTCCACCATACCACCACTCTCACCACCGCCACCACCCTTATGGTTATTAAACTCATTTTCCGTCCTAATTCTCTCCCCTTCTCCTTCCTCTCTTTTCCTCCCCGTCTCTTCTCCAGACCCCTAAACTTCTCCCTTCTATCCACCTCCACCACCACAGCCGTCGCGGCCGTTTCCTCTATCCTACCTTACGGCCCCTCCCTCAGAAAAGGCTACAGTCCATCCCCATTTCCTCCAACTTTACATCAATGCCCCTCATCTGAACAGGAAAGTGACTCCAATTTATTCGACGAAGATAGCTTCACTCGAGTTTTCGACCTCGCCGCCCTTCGCGTACCTTCAGAGCTCTGTTTTGGGCTCGAAAACCGCCTTCGTGGCCACCTCCTTAACTGGCCTAGGGTTCGGAACATTGCCAGAGTCCCCGGAGATGAAATTGATGCTGAGCTAAAGAAATTGTTCGCTGATTGTTCAAGTTCTAATAATTTAAATACCGATAATGATGCTTTAGTGACTTTGAATAGGAGAATTTACGGAAAAGCTGACGGGGATGGGGAGCTATTGAGTCCTGTGTTGTATAGGGATAAGTTGGCTAGGACGTTTAATTCAAGGGGATTTGTGAACTTTAGGAATTTAGCAAAAATTTCGAGGCCAAAGAAGGTCAAGAAGAAGGAGGAGGAGAGAAAGGAAAAGGGAAAGAAAGGTGGAGTTGGGAGGAATGAGATGGCTGTTGTGGCGGTGGTGGAAGAGGAGGAGAGTGATGTTAGTGGCTTGTTAGGTGATGAGTTTAAGGGAAAAAGTTGGAGGGGTTCGACCAGGTTGCTGCTTTTGGATGAAACTTATGCAAATAAAGGGATTAATGAGATGCCTGAGGCCATTAAGGTTTCTATTTCCCTACAGTTTGGCTCTCTGTGAGTTGCTTTATGTTGTTGAGTTTGAATTATGCATTTGCTTCGAGATTGAGTGCATGATATAGCTTTCGAGTTTCCGGGTTCTAAAAAAGTTTGGGTGGTATTTTCAATTGAACGTTGAAGGTCTTGTTACTGAACTTTTTTTTTTGAGTTTTTAGCACGTGTATGCCAACTTCTATGGAACTTTCAACCCCTGTAATATCTTGGGATGCCCAGCTCTCTCTTTGCTTCTCTTAGTATGAATTCCTGTTTCCTGAGAGTGTGCATTTGTGGTTAGAATGCAAATGGATTTCAATCTTGTTTTATGATGGCATCTGATTGCTTAGTTGTATTTTATAGGCTGTTCTGAAAGAATATGTTGGGGACAAGGGGGACTCAACCTTTGAACTTGTCAAATGCAAGTTGACGTTGTTTTATAGTTACTGGCAGATGAATGAGGTACATTTCATTTAATTAACTCCAGTCCTCTGTATCTTTTGAGTTCCATGCCTTCTTTCGATTTTCTTGGGCCTGGTAAATCTAGTCTGTACTAGAAACAATGGGGTTGATCATCAATTATTCTTATATACTAGGGACTCATTGGCTGTTTTGTATATTCGTTGTATATTTTCTTGAAAACGTCATATACTTCTTGCAGGTCTTAGAAGCATTGCTGCCGAATGGCATGATTATTCCTTCTGCCTTTGAGACTGTTGGGCATATTGCACATCTGAATCTGAGAGATGAGCATCTTCCTTACAAAAAAATTGTTGGCAAGGTACTTTATTGGAACGTAAAACTACCAGTTCTTTTTCATTTTGCAATATAGAATTATTAACTTTGTCCCGATACTGTTTTTCACTTTCTTTTCAGGTGGTTTTAGACAAAAACAAGCCAAAGATACAGACAGTTGTCAATAAAACTGATATCATTCACAACGATTATAGGACAATGCAGCTTGAAGTTTTAGCTGGAAACCACTCTCTCGTGACCACTGTAGTTGAAAATGGACTGCAATTTCATGTTGATCTAGCCACAGTGTAAGTCTGGTGGATAAGGAAGAGAAGAAAATAAGAATGGCAAAATTTGATAAGATCTTATGTTTCTTACTCCTGTATTCAGATACTGGAATTCAAGGCTTTCAACTGAAAGGCAGAGGCTTCTGAATTACTTTACACGTGATGATGTTATCTGTAAGTTGCTTTTTAATCTTAGTTATTCATTTTGGTAGAATTGAAGTTTATGATGTTTCATTGAAGATTTTTGATATATTCTTCAAGTTGTGGCATCTCATTCCAATAAGTATACCTTTTCCATGATAGTAATCAAACTATGTGCTTGCTTACAAAATTCAGTGATGTATATTGTCCTGAATGCTATGACACAGTGTCAAATGAACCCTGACATGAAGAAGCCTAATTTCTATTTTTTGTCCACAAATCATGAATTTGGCTTTTATTGATGTTAAAATCTTCCTCATGATCCTAAGCTTTAGTTGCAGATTTTGTAGTCAAATTCTGTGGCAATTCTTACTCGGCATTCTCACTTCTCATTTTCTGCAGGTGATGTTTTTGCTGGGGTGGGCCCAATAGCTTTAGCTGCTGCAAGGAAAGTAAAGCATGTATATGCTAACGATTTGAATCCTTATGCTGTTGATTATTTGGAGAGAAATTCTGTCCTTAACAAACTTGAGAGGAAGATTGAGGTAACCAAAGTTTCTATGAAGCAAGTTTAATTAGCTTCTTTCTTACTTATTACATGACATTTTCATATTGAATGGCTAATAAGTGACCAAGTTCTTAATCAAGAACTTTAATTTCTAACATGGTCATTTCTTTTAGCTGAAGTAGGACTATCAGTTTGAAATTCTTGTGGTATGTTTTTTAGGTACAACTTGTCAGATCAGTTCCATGATGCCAATATATGATTAGAAAAGGACTGTGATAAGGAAAGCTTTTTGCTACCGTGCCTTGTTGCTTCTGGTATTTGAATGATGGACATGCAAACAGTGTAGTTCTATCATGTCTTATTTCATGAACAATATGTTCATTAACTTTCAATCTAGATCAGGAAACACAGAGGGAACTATTCTATTTTTTCATACAAAAAACCTTAGTAACAGGGTCACTCTACCAGCTATATAACAGGTCCTAGATTGCATATCTAATTTCATTAAATATTTCCTGTTACAGATTGCAGACCTCCCATATCATGTTCAATAAGAGAATGTTTTTAATAATAAAGCTGTAATAAGGGATTGCCTAATTTTTCTCATTCTGCACAGGTTTTCAACATGGATGGAAGGAGGTTCATTGACACTATTTTTGCAAGCCATAAAACTCGACCAGTGACACAAGTAGTCATGAATTTGCCAAATGATGCGACAGAGTTTCTTGGTTTGTTACTTTCTGAAATGAAATGATACCTCCTGTCTTTTAAGTTTTGTGATGTATGAAAAACAATCCTGATGTACTACAGAAAGTTCCAAATTTTTTGCCACATATCTCATTCACAGAAAGATTTTGCTGTTTCTAGAGTTTAGGGGTCATACTTCACCTAAAGATGTAATTCTTTTGCCAATGATTGCAGATGCATTCAGGGGATTATTCAGAAAACATCATAAGGATAGAGGGTATACCTTACCCAGAATTCATGTGTATGGGTTTTCAAAAGCTCAGGATCCAGAGTTTGACTTCCATGAGGTATACTCTATCCCATAGCTAAGAGTTGGATTCTGCTTAACTGAATAGCTAAAGTTTTGATGTTTAACCAAATCATTATTTGCTTTTTGTCTTCATATTTGACATCATGATGTTTTTAAATCAGCGCATTAGGATTGCTCTGTCTGAGGTGGCTTTTGATGTGGAGATGCACAGAGTTCGCATTGTTGCACCTGGAAAATGGATGCTGTGTGCATCATTC